ATAACATTTTTTGGTTTTTTTTGAGACAAAGTCTTGCTCTGTCACCCAGGCTACAGTGCAGTGGCGTCATCGTAGCTCACTGTAACCACAAACACCTGGGCTCAAGAGATCCTCCCGCCTCAACCTCCCGAGTAGCTGGGACTAAATGCGTGAGCCACCAGGTCCAGTTAATTTTTGTGTTTTTAACAGAGATGAGGTCTCGCTTTTAATCAGCATGGTCTCAAACTCCTGACCTCAAGTGATCCTCCTGCCTTGGCCTCCCAGATTGCTAGGATTATGGGCGTGAGAAACCGCACCCGGCCTATTTTTAAAAACTAACATGTCAGTATAAAAAAGACAAGTCAACTCCTTGAAAAATGGGCAAGAACTTCAATAGCTGTTTCACACAAGGACAAAATCAAAGGCCAATAAGCACAGGAAAAGTGCTCAATCTCGTTAACAGTGGTGAAGTGAAAACTAAGGCCACAGGATACCACTACATGCCCACTACATACCCACCAGAATAAAATGGAAAAGAGGACATCACCAAGTTTGGTGAGGAAGTGGGACAAGTGGACTTTGGAAAGGTGTTTGGCAGTATTCATTAAAGCTGAACATGATGTACTACAACTTTGCAATTCCATTCTTAGTCCATTTAGAGTTGCTATAGGATACCTGAAGCCTTGGGTGATTTATAAGAAGAGGTTTATCTGACTCACAGCTTGGCTTCCGGTGAGGACCTCAGGCTGCTTCCACTTATGGTGGAAGCGGAAGGGGAGCCGGCACGTGCAGAGGTCACACGGCAAGAGAGGAAGCAGTGGGGAGGGGGGAGGTAGCAGGGACAGCACCAGGTTCTTTTTAACCAGATCTCACAGGAACTAAGCCAGCAAGAAGGCACCTATCCCCTCCCTCACTTCTGGAGGGCATTAACCTATTCATAAGGGATCTACCCCCATGACCCTAACACCTCCCATTAGGCCCCACCACCAACACTGGGGATCAAATTTCAATGTAAGATTTGGAGGGGACAAACATCCAAACTATAGCCCAATCCTAAACAGAAATATGTACCTATGTACACCCAAACTGATGTACTAGAATATATGGAGCAGTACTAACAGTTCCCAAATGGGAAATGAACCAAACGTCTGTTGGATAAATAGTATGTGGTTTATTCACACGATGGAATACTATACAACCATGGAAAGGAAGAAACATGTACAAATACATGCAACGAAAGTCTCACAAACATAATATTGAGAAAAAGGAGCCAGGTACAAAAAACGCATAATGTTTAATTCCATTCATGTAATATCCAAACCCAGACAGAACTTCTCTGTGCTCTTAGAACTCAGGATAGTGGTTACCCTTGGGAGAGGTAGTAACTGAAAGGGAAGCTGATAGGAGCTTATGAGGTGCTGATTGTATGCAGGTGTCCCAGTTGGGAAAAATAACTGACACTGTTTGTATAGATGTTACACTTAAATAAAATGTTAAACAAAACAATTTGCCTCTGGATACTTGGACTGAAGAAATGTTTCTCTCTCGGCCTCTCCCCTTGCCCACACTATCACACTCCTAACTGCCACTTCCAAATGGTGAGAGTAGGAAGAGAACCACTCCCCCTTGCAGACTAAACTAGATTTGCTGCAGGTCCACCAAACTATGAAAACCAAGTCTCTCCTGCTTTCTCTGCCCTCTCTCAACAAAACCTCTTACTCAGGAATAAGTGCTCCTCTCAGCAAACATTTAAGTATCAAAGTTTTGAATCAAAACGTAGAGCTCTAATAGTTAACATCTCAAGTTGCAGGTAGTGGGTAGGCAAGGAGCCATCTGGGCCTGACACCCTTGGAAATACAGAACATGCCATTGGGGGGCAAGCCCAACTTGGGGTAGTGTGTTAAAATCCTGGCCCTGTCCTGAGCACGTCTAAAGCCTCTCTAGGCCTCGGTTTCCTCATCATTAAATGGGGATAATGGTGCTTACCTCACAGAGTTGTTATAAGGATCAAAATGAGTTAACCACGTGCAAAACATTTAGAAAAGTGATTAAGGTAGGAGCTTAATAAATGTTAAATATATAATAAAGTAAGTGTAGCAGTCATTGCATTGGTTGCCTTCAAAGAATCAGGAATGTTGTTCTGTCAGAGGGCACAAAATTAAAAACTTCTTATTGGGTGTGCAGTACTTGATATAGCAGCAACTAGGGAGGTTGTAACATATACCTGTACCTCCTATTTGACCAACAGACCACTAAATATCACAGGTATTTTGGTACAACTTCTATTACTGGGCCTTGGTCCCTGGATCTGGCCTCTACAAACCTAGAGACCTCTGCAGTGACTGGCTCGAGATAACCCCAACATACAAAGCCTGAGAAAACAATGTTCAGTAGCTAGAATATTCACACTGGTATTCTCACCCTGTAGGCAGACCTACATAAGAAGCCCAATCTTCATCAGGATATTTGAATACGTATCAAAATAACTTAATGGCAATAAGCCATGTGAGGCTGAAGAATAAATTCCTAAAGAGCTAGTGGGTCTGGAAACCTGGACATTTCATGGCTAACAATGCTTTTTCTGCTTTTCTGCTGTTGACCAACATCACACTCTGCCTCAAAGCCTGTCCCACTTTGGACGCTTCTGCTCTGATCCAGTATTAACACGCGAAGTCGGACAGCAATCCTATTTCCTCAACTCCCAAGTGTAGGTGGAGGAAGCAGGCTACGAAACCCACTGTACCTTTCAGTCTTTCCATTGATGCATTAACGTAAGTGAGGGTCTCTACCCAGTAACTCTTCTCACTGCAGGCAAACTTCTTTGGGGAGTCACACCACACTCAGAGCGCTTGGTGGGCACTGGAGGTGCAGGAGAGCCCTGCCTGACAGTGTGGTGCCCAAGTTACTCTTGGCAGGCTTGTGGCTCTCTCTGCAGGTTAGCCCCTCAGATATAGCAGCATACGGCCCTCTTCTCTTCCTGAACACTGCGGTCACTAGTGCCATTCCTTGATTATACTCTAGGCCCAATGAATTCAATGTTAGCATTCCTGGTTATACCAAAATCCAGTCGTGTTCCTAGACCAATCATCCCAATCTCTAGTTCTGTCATTCCCACAAATGGCTGATTTGATCTTCATTTCTAATTCATTCTTGGATGATAAATCTGCATGGCAGCATTGGGAATGCCCTGTGGCCACTCCTAGGAACCACCTACTCCACTGAGCTTGGTATAACAGGCGCTCTTCCTGGCCTCCCAGTGGAAAGCCATGCCCCTCAAGTAACAGTTACCACAGTCTTAAACGGAAGACCAAACAGTCAGAATGTGGAGTGCGTAGGGGGAGAAAACTACCAGCCTTCACCTTGGGGATGGGAGACAGTGGGCAGGGGCCACCTTTTGCAGTCCTTTTCCTGACTCTTCTTGAGTCACTGTCCAGATAATTGCGGCAAGGAAGAACTGATAAGGCAACAGGCAGGCAGAGCTGAAGGAAGAGGGTGGCTGCCTGAGCTCAGTGCCCTGTTGGCTCCACATGAGCCTCTCCCACACCTACAACAGCTGGCTCAGTTCCCAGAGCCCCTGTGCAGATCCAGTCTAGCTCTCTCTGTTCCTTTCTACTCCCTAAAGGCCCGAGGAACTCCACCTTTCTGTTCTCTCTGCTTGGTATTACCACCAGCTACTCCACCCTTTGGGAGATTCTTCTCTTCCCAAAATTACCCATGGAGTGGAAAGGGCTGAAAGAGGCTACAAATACAAGCATTATTATTACCTGTTAACTAAGACCATTAAATGAGAACAACAATAGGAAATAATGATGAAGCTTTCTGTACCTACCAAACTATCAAAACACTTGAAGGGCCAGAAGGCCCTTCCCTAGAACTAAAATGAACCCAAATATGTCAAAGAGCTCCCCTTCTCCACCTCCCCAGCACCATTACCCAGCCTTTCCTAGCTAATGGCAACCACCAGAGTCAGATGTACTATTATTTATTTCCCAAATGACTTAAGGTAAACCATTACTAAGGCAAAAAAAAGACTTAATTTTTATAAATTGGTAACAGTTTGGAGATTGACAGATTGCAAAAGGAACAGAAATGAGGAAACCCGTTTTCTTGCTAAAAAGCCTACTGCTCCTACACCATGAACAATCAACAGATATAAACTAATTAAGAGACTATGTTTTTAAAACAAGTACTAGGAGTAACTATAGAAAGTAATGTTATTGTAAACCATGCTTTAAATACATCATCTTTAAAAGAATATGCAATTGCTCTGCCTTGCTCTTTAAGTTTTTTACAACATCTAAAAACTGGCAAGTTTAGTAAAGACAATAGTTCACATAGGCATAAGTTTTGGAAGAATATTACACAATTGATAGTTTTAATGGCAATTATAATAGTTCTGAAATGGCAAATAAAAATTCTGAACAGTGATTAGACAATGGCACCTACTGTGCAAAGTACTGATGTTGTAGCAGAGGAACAGGTATTGCTTATTTTGGGGCTTAAGTGGGTACACAGCATTAGTCAGTGAGAACTAATCTGAAATCTATTTGCTTTCTTTACAGTCCTAAACTCCCACTGCAGTTCCAACCATGTATAAATTTGAAAAAAATGTGCAACAGGTTTACGTGGGAGGGATTTTCGCTAAATTTTGAGAAAAATAACCATGGCATCATTCTTCAATGAAGAAAGGTAAATGTGTCTAATTTCAATATTGATAACTGGAAAAATTGCTATGGTAGGAAATTCTTAAAAGCAAGTCCCAAAATTCCAAAATAATTCTTTGCTGCCATATAAAATGTTCTAGTGCGTTCTAGATTGCAGCATATTAGCAAATAAGGTAGTTATTTATTTCGAAATGCAATAAATCACTAAAATTCTAGGTAAGTAACCTTTATGACCATCTAAATTGAGTTTTAAACTTATAACTTTAGTAATACATACACACTTACATTCAATTGTACAGAATGCAACACATTTAATCTTAAAAAACACTATATAACAAAAAACTACAGAAATGAGCACATGATGGAAATGCTCTGACCAATCCTACAACCGCAATAAATTTAAAACTGTAAACACACATTGAACACATCAGAGCACTGTGGAAAGGAGTTCAGTTGCTTTTACAAGTCATATTATAATTTTTAAGAGCTAACAGATTAGAGGCAAATGGAATTCTTAGAACATTACTTAAAAATAGATTTTAAAGACAAAGATCCCAACTCGTTCTTATATACACACACAAAAGTTCATCTGTCACAGACAGCAAATGTTGAATTTATACTCTGAAGTTTCTGGCAGCATCCTGCACTTTAGAATTAAAATAAGCAAACAAAGCTGTCAAATGTATCTGAGATGGATTGTTCAAATCTGTGCAGGACAGAGCACAGTTCCTTTGCACTACTGCCTACATGCTCATTGCTGCTTCTCAAAGGCAAAAACCAAGTAAATACCTAAAAAGGAAATAAATAAAAGAGTTTAGTTTCCCGTATCAGCAGGGTAAACGACCAACAATCTCAATCCTGTTCATAATTTAGTGAAAATTCTTTGGCTCTCAGGTAGCATTTGAAGAGAAAAAATCCCACTAATTCTAAGAGTTACTTTACTGTTTGAGTCATTTTTAGGCAGATATGGGATGATCTATGTTTACTTGAAAAAAATATCTACCTACAGTAATACTCAATGACAGCACAGCCATGGGAAAACCAATTCAACAGTCCTAAAAAACCTCTAAAAACAGTTGGAGGTAAGAAAAATTAAAAGTTATTAAAAAAAAAAAACTAAAACTGTCCTATGACTCAAATCTTTTTATCTGCAGTGAGGTAGGTAGGTAGGTAGAATTATCACGCTACAATGAATACTACTGGCAGTGGTACTCTCAGTTTTCTATTCAGAAAAAATAAGGAACATATAGAACATAAAACTAGTAAGAAATATAAGGAACATATGTAACATGACATACTAAAATTCATCCAACTGTTGTGTTGTAGGGCCTGGTAAAGAGACAGCAAGCCAGAAGCCATTAATACCGTGAGATATCATTTATCTGGCCCCAACAGTAATATTTCTGCATGTATCTGGTCCCAAGAGTACTCTCCCTTAAATAAGATTTCCTGCTGTGACTCAAAGACAGCTAAATGAATTTAGGATTTCCTATTCTGACTCACTGAAATTCAAACCTACTAAAGGCATACCTTGCTTTATTGTGCTTTGCAAATAATATGTTTTTTACAAATTGAAGGTTTGTGGCAACCCTGCGTCAAACAAATCTGTTAGCGCCATTTTTTCCAACAGCATGTGCTCTCTTTGTCTCTGTAACACGCTTTGGTAATTCTTACAATATTTCTAACTTTTTTATTATTATTGTGTCTCTTATGGTGATCTGTGATCAGTGATCTTCGACATTACTATTGTAATTGTTTTGGGGTGCCACGAACCATGCCCACTTAAGACCGCAAATTTAATCGATAGCTGTTGTGTATGTTCTGACTGTTCCACCAATCAGCCATTCCCTGTCTCTCTCTCCTCACACCTCCCTATTCCCTGAGAAACAACAATATTGATATTAGGCCAATTAATAACCCTATGATGGTCTCTAAGTGTTCAAGTGAAAGGAAGAGTAGCAAATCTCTCACTTTAAATCAAAAGCTAGAAATGATTAAGCTTAGTGAGGAAGGCACGTAGAAAGCCCAGACAGGCCAAAAACTAGGTCTCTTGCACCGAACAGTTAGAAAAGTAGTAAATGCAAAGGAGAAGTTCTTGAAGGAAATTACAAGTGCTACTTCAGTGAACATACATATGATAGGAAAGCAAAATCACCTTATTGTTGATATGGAGAAAATTTCCGTGGTCCAGATAGAAGATCAAACCAGCCACAACATTCCCTTAAACCAAAGCCTAATCCAAAGCAAGACTATAACTCTCTTCAACTCTATGAAGGATGAGAGAAGCGAGAAAGCTGCAGAAGGAAAGCCAGAAGCCAGCAGAGACTGCTTCACGCATTTAAGGAAAGAAGCTGTCTCTATAACATAAAATACAGCAAGGTGAAGCAAGGAAGTGCGGACATCGAAGCTGCAGGCAAATTACCCAGAAAATCTAACTAAGAAAATTGAAGGAAGTGCTACACTAAACAACAGATTTTTACTGTAGACAAAACAGCCTTCTATTGGAAGAAGATGCCATCTAGAACTTTCCTAGCTAGAGAGGAGAAGTCAACACCTGGCTTCAAAGCTTCAAAGGAGAGGCTGACTCTCCTATTAGGGACTATAATGCAGCTGGTGACCTGAAGTCAAAGCCAGTGCTCATTTACCATTCTGAAAATCCTAGGCCCTTAGGAATGATACTCTACCTGTGCTCTAGAAATGGACCAACAAAGCCTAGAAGACAGCACATCTGTTTCCATCATGGTTTACTGAATATTTTAAAGCCCACTGTTGAAACCTACTGCTCAGAAAAAGATACCTTTCCAAATATTACTGCACATTGACAATTGCACCTGGTGACCCAAGAGCTCTGATGGAGATGTACAAGGAGATTAATTTTGTTTTCAGGAATGCTAACACAACATCCATTCTGCAGCTTGGAGATCAAGGAGTAATTTCCACTTTCAAGTTTCATTATTTAAGAAATATATTTTGTAAGGCTATAGTTGTCATAGATAGTGATTCCTCTGATGAATCTGGGCAAAATCAACTGAAAACCGGATGTAAAGAAATCATCATTCTAGATGCCATTAAGAACATTTGTGATTTATGGGAGGAGGACAAAGTATCAACAATAACGAGTTTGGAAGAATCTGATTCTGGTTCTCATGAATGACTTTGAGGGGTTCCAGACTTCAGTGGAGGAAGTGACTGCAGATGTGGCAGAAAGGGCAAGAGAACTAGAACTAGAAGTGGAGTCTGCAGATGTGACTGAAATGCTGCGATCTCATGATGAAACCTGCATGGATGGAAAGTTGCTTTTTATGATGAGCAAAGAAAGTGGTTTCTTGAGATGAAATCTATTCCTGGTGAACATGCTGTGAACTTTGTTGAAATGACAGCAAAGGATTTAGAATATTGAACTTAGGTGATAAAAGCAGCAGCAGGGTTTGAGAGGGTTGACTCCAATTCTGAAGGAAGTTCTACTGTGGGTAAAATGCTATCAAACAGCATGGTATGTGACAGAGAAATCTTTCATGAAAGGAAGAGTCAATCAATGCAGCAAACTTATTTTAAAAAATTGGGCAGGGCGTGGTGGCTCACTCCTATAATCCTAGCACTCTGGGAGGCTGAGGCAGGAGGATTGCTTGAGGCCAGGAGTTCAAGACCAACCTGAGCAACAGTGAGACCCTGACACAGCAAGACCCCAACTTTACAAAAAATTTAAAAAATCTCTACAGGCGTGGTGCACACCCGTAGTCCCAGCTACTCGGGAGGCTGAAGCAGAAGAATCACTTGAGCCCAGGAGTTTGAGGTTGCTGTGAGCTGTGATGACGCCACTGCATTCTAGCAGGGGCAACCAGAGTGAGACTCTGTCTCACAGAATAAAAAAAGAAATCGCCACAGCCATCTCAACCTTCAGCAACCGCCACCGATTAGTCAGCAACCATCAATACCGAGGAAAGACCCTCCACCAGCAAAAACATCAGGACTCGCTGAAGGTTCAGATGATCGCTGGCATTTTTTAGCAATAAAGCATTTTTTAATTAAGGAATGTACATTGTTTATTCAGACATAACGCTGTTACACACTTAGACTACAGTATAAACATAAATTTTATATGTACCGGGAAATGAAAAAAATTCATGTAACACACTTCATTATGGTGTTTGCTTTATTGCAGCGGTCTGGGAACCAAACCCACAATATCTCCAAGGTATGCCTGTATATCTTCTAGTAAGATACCAACAGATTCTATGGTAAGAAAATACCTCAAAAGGTGACAAATCCTGAAAACACCACAAGGATGTTCAAGGCATGCACTAGAATAGTCGACAGTGAGTCAAGATAAAGGCCAGGTAAGTTGGAGACCGTGCTCCTTGAGCTGACTTTGAACAGAGGGCAGATGACTGGAGGCATACTGCGTCATAGTCTCCCCGGACTATAGCTTCTTGCCCTTCCAGCTTAACCTGCGCAGGATACCACACTAGTTTTTCCAAAATACTACCGTGGCCATGCTACTCTCCTGCTCTGTAATTACTAGTTTTTGATTTCTTTCAGGTGAAATGCAGTGTGTCTAGCGGTACAGTGCAGATGGACAGAAAATAGGCAGGGTGATTAACCCTGCAGCTCCTGCCAGCAGATAAGGAAGCACAGCAGTCCACAGCGCTCACAGCATGCCAACACACTCACAACTGGACAGCATCACTTACCTTGTCCCCCACTTCAAGAGACCTTTCTGCAGTTCAACCCTGCCAAATCCCACCCCTCACACACCCACACCCTTCAGTCCTTTCCTGTCCTCATTTAGGGCCATTTAAAACCACTAAGATGCTGGAGTCTGATTTTGAATTCACCATTAGTAACTTTCTCTTTCTAACTCAAAACTTCTGAAAGTCCCACTCATTATATAAAATGCCTTCTCTGCAGGCATTTCAATTGGGATTTAAAGGAACAAATCTTGAACCACTTCCCTTCCAAAAGCAAATCGGTGGCAATTTTCTACTTTCCTTTCTCATTTAAAGCATATTCTAGAGGAGGAGCAGGCTATGGTGATAAGACCTTAATGATCAGACCAGTAGAAGTCTACAACATAACTTTCCTAGACTTATTAGACTTCTGATGCCAGGCAAGACACTCCCCAGCCCACAAAGCCCTCCAGCTTAGAACGGTGTAATTTATCCAAGAGCCACCTGATCTTGGAATGCTAGACCCCGGCTGCAATCTGGCTACTGCTCTTCTACCACTTTTCACAGGTCCAACCTGTCTCCTCCTCAACTGTCTGGGGCCATCTAATGCTTCATGTGTTACCTAATTCTTTACTTGTATATTATGAATGTTTAAGTCCATGCTTAATATAAAAATGAGGTTCTAAGCTACAGCCAGTACCACCATCATGACCTTGACCACAATTTACACCATACTTTGGGACTGGTAGGATAACTAGGATAGGTGGCCAGTCTCCACTGCTGGGAAAAAGTAGTAAAATACATACAGTTTGTGCTCACATCCCCAGTCAAGGAAGATCATGTCTGTAATACATTCTCCAATCACTTTCTATTAATGCTTTTAATATTCAGAGACAGGTTCAAAATATTGGCCCTATTTGTCATCTTTCCTTTTCCTCTCTATCCAATTCAGCAGATCTTATGAAATTGTCCCTTCACAAGAGCTTCCACAAGGCCATTGTTAAGAAGATGGATCATTTAGGTCAGCTAACCACAGTTAGCTCTGTGACCTTAGCCAAGTTACTTGTTCCCAATCATATACACCTCTAACATATCCTGCTTGTTGCTGCTTCACTAAATGTTCTAGTATTATGCCTTCACTGTCAACATCTGAGTAACCAGAATCAAATAAAATACATGAAGTGTTTTATATGCCAAAAATTCCAACAGAAATCTGAAGACATCAAATAGAGATGGCTATTAAGTACGAACAGGCAAGAAAATGTATATATGCGCTCCTAAAAGTTTATGCTGAGCACCATCCTGCATACAGTATACATAGTTGCGCAAGAAAGGGGGATTAGCCATATGCATGGATATACGTACATTTGTGTGTGTGTAAACAACACACACTATCTAAAATGTGCCAGAAAAACTCTAAGGTTTTCAGTTTTTAATAACTTTGAAACAGGATCTTTTGAACTGTCAGTTAACCTACACTAATGATATACTCACTTGTAGCTTCCCATTCTGATTTACTTAAGGTTCCCTAAAATTAAAGAGAAAAAGAAAGAAAATTGTAGATTCAGTATGGAAGTAAACATATGGTTATTTTTCAATAACGGACAGAGGTGGCCAGAAGACCCTAACTTCACTGTAAATATACATACAATTCACTGTTAATAGTACTGTGATCTGAGCACATAAAAGAAATCAATGAGATTCACTTTCAAGGCCATCTTCTCACCGCTTTTGCCCCCCTGCCAAATTCTCTACAGATTCTCAACCAAAGGGTGAATGTGAATGAAGAAGGTGTGTGTGCATGCGCGCAACTGGAAAAAGTATCTATATTTTTAACTTGGAAAATGAATAAAAAAGCCAAATTTTTTTTTTTTTTTAATTTCAGCATATTATGAGGGTACAGATGTTTAGGTTATGTATGTTGCCCTTGCCCCCCCCGCCCCAAGTCCGAGTTTCAAATATGTCCATCCTTTGGGTGGTGCACATTGCACTCTTTGTGTATGCAAATACCCGTCCCCTCCTCCCTCATCCCCCCTCCCCCCTGCCCAACATCCAATAGATGTTATTCTTATATGTGCATTTATGTGTTGATCAGTTAATACCAATTTGATGGTGAGTACATGTGGTGCTTGTCTTTCCATTCTTGGGATACCTCACTTAGTAGAATGCATTCCAGCTCTATCCAGGAGTATACAAGAGGTGCTATATCACCATTGTTTCTTAAAGCTGAAGAGTACTCCATGGTATACATATACCACATTTTATTAATCCACTCATGTATTGATGGACACTTGGGTTGTTTCCACATCTTTGCAATTGTGAATTGTGCTGCTATAAACATTCGGATGCAGGTGTCTTTCTTATACAAAAAAGCCAATTTTGAAGTATCAAATAGTACTGGAGGAAGAACTAAGATTTTTGTATTTTTCCAAAGGAGTCACAATATAAAGTATATACTAAGAAAATAAATTATATTTAAGTAGCTATCAAAATATGAAAAAAGTATGTGCTGCTTTGCACATTCCATTAACAAACGGATCTAATGGCAGTTCTAGTAATTAGTGTCAAAAAGTGATATATAATATTCTAAGATGTTAGAAGAAATATGCTATGAAAATATCTGTAATTTCTACTGATGACAAAGTTACAGCTACAGCTAATACCCAAAGGCAGGCTTTCACACAGAAGTTAGAAAAATAAAGATGTAATTTTTTTCCATTTAAATCATGGACTCCTGCATTCTATCTATGGAATGCTGTAAGCCAGTAGTCATAACAAGTCATCCTAACTTAGGGAAAACAGACTATTATTGTACATCTGATTTGTAAGTCAGTGAGACCAAGTATTATAAGAAGTGAAATAATCTCCTAAATCCCCATATAATGTATGCTTTTTTTTTTCATTTCTATAAAATACTTTCAAAACTGAAAACTCACCAAAGGTAACCTTACTTGACTTTTCTTCATGTACTCTGCTGCATGTTCATAGTCATCCGCCTTCTCAGAGGCAAGTTTAGAATTCTCATTTGCAGGATATGGCTGGGGAAGCAAATTGAAGTCCTAGTTAAGATTTTATAATTGAGAATTAAGCACACTGAATCACTGAAATAAAATAATTAGGGGAATAATCCCTAACTATTACTTTAGGAATACAAATTACACATACTTTTCAAATATGGAAAAAAAGAGGGGGCAGGATCCTCTCTTAAAGCAGTAATTATAGTCAACTTTTATCACAATCTTAGGATATTTATAGCTGGAGCAGACTATAGAATTTAATCACAAGGACCATTCAACAGCAAATACCTGCATCTTCTTAACTGCTTTTTCTGTTACAACAGAAAGCCTAAAAAGAGGGTATCATCGAAAGAAGTAAATATTAAAGTCATGGCAATTTAGTAGCCATGAAAAGCACAAACAATTAGAAATAATACAAATGAAAATGTTAAGTCAACAGAGAACCCTGTTTAAGATAAAAAATGTGAGTTTAAGAAGATAAAAAAATATAATCCAAACTCCAGAGCATAGGCAGTTTCCAAATTCATGTTAAGAGTCTCAAGAAGGGTCAGAAAAAAATGCTGGTTTAAAAGTATGCTGGCCAAATGTTTATTCGAATTACTTTATTTAATAGAATGACCATCCACTCTACAAAGGTTACGCATTTTTTATAAGGCAATTATTTATATGATAATTCTTAAACTTTTAAGAAAATGATCCATGATATCTTCTTTTCCCCTTTTCTTTATAAATATCCTAGAGCAAGCTCAGGCATTGGAAATTAAGCTATTTAATATTTATTTGCTGTTTAAAAAGTATTTGGCTACTGGGGACTTCAACATTGTCAGCATCAGCAACTTTACTTTTTATTATATCTTAACGCGAGGGATATAAGAAAGAATATTTACTATCACTAAGTTTTATTGAATTTCTATTTCAAGTGTTGTAGTTTTGCCATATTACAAAGTATCATAACTTTATTTTATTTATTTTATTTTTTTGAGACAGAGTCTCACGGTGTTGCCCGGGCTAGAGTGCCGTGGCATCATCCTCACTCACAGCAACCTCAAACTCCTGGGCTCAAGCGATCCTCCTACCTCAGCCTCCCAAGTAGCTGGGACTACAGGTATGCGCCACCATGCCCGGCTAATTTTTTCTATATATTTTTAGTTGTCCAATTAATTTCTATTTTTAGTAGAGACGGGGTCTCGCTCTTGCTCAGGCTGGTTTTGAACTCCTGAGCTCAAACAATCCGCCCGTCTCGGCCTCCCAGAGTGCTAGGAGTACAGGCGTGAGCCACCGCGCCCGGCCCATAACTTTATTTTGAATGACTACCAAACTATCCTGTTGTAAATCTGTTTCTTCAATTTATCATGACTCCTCTGCCTGATTTTGTGCCTATCACTGGACTTCCAGTTTCTCTGTTCTACTGATCATTTCGAAAGACCAACCCATACATGATTATAAAGCTGCAAAACTGATCTTTTTTTCAAAACTTTCTAAAATGTATATATCCTGGTAAGTCTCCTCTCAAAGGAGTTACTTTTCCAGAACTGTTGCCAGAATAAGTTTACTGGTGAAAAAAAGGAAAATAGGCATCAGGACTATAACTACAGTTCCTTGGCCCACATGCATCCTTTCATTCTTCCTTCCCTGCTTCAGTGCTCCATGAAAGCAGAGAAGTTTCTCTAGTGCTGAGCCCATCTGAAAGATGAATGCTTCAGGAAAAAACCTTTTATGGCAAATATCAAGAAATAGATCCATTTAAATCTCTGACCTGAACTAAAGCAGTAGCGCCCTGACTGCTCTTTCCACCTCCGGTCTGGTCTCAATGTCACCACAAACTGTCCACCCAAATAATGTCTTAACTCTTATGGGGTCATTTCCTTTCCTGCTCCAAGTCCTTTACAGGCCCACAGGAGTGACTTGGTCAAGAAGCAGGGAAACAAAAGGACTTTTTCCAATTACATGCTGTCACTGCCCATGTACCCAAACAGCCATCATGAAAGCTCACATCCTCCAGGGCAGTACTAGGGGGAGAAGGAAGACTGCTAAAGAAACAGGAAAGTGACTAGTATTTCCTCAAACATCCCTGCTCTCTCCTGCTTCTCTGCCTTTCCCCTCAGTCTTCTTCCTTCCCCAAAGGCCCTTTATAAACTCACTTCACTGTATATACTAAAAAGAATGTAACATTTTGTTGATTATGGGTTTCAAAGACAATTGAGAGTTTAAAGAAGATTCCCCCACTCAAAATTGTGGGGGTGGCTGCATTTGGATGCAACTTCAATAAGAGACTTTTGTTTGAATACCACCTGTAAAAACGGAAGAAAACCCAAGTTAGTAGCCCCGTGACTCTGGACAAGTCGTTTATCCTCTGAGCCTCAGGCTGCTCACGTAAAACATGAAAAGTAACTGCTTTGCCTATGTCATGGGGGTAATTATGAGGATAAATAAGACAGAATATGCTTAAAGTACTTAAAAGAACATTCTGAATTGAATAAACTCTCTAAATAAGTTTAATGCCCATTTGACAAATATGATTCTGCTGATCAATAGCAAAAATGCTCACAAAATATTTAGATTTGTCCAGTTAAATACTGTTTGACAAAGAGAAAAAGGAAAAGGGTGAATGGGTGAATCAATGAGTGAATGGGGAATCAATGGCTGAATGTTTAAAGCTTAGACAGACCACCTTCACTGCTGCATGAGAAGCACAGGAGTCCAGGAGGTGAAGCAAGTCTCAGCAACAACAGTCTAAAAGATTGGAACCTCACTACAGAGTCACCATAGAACAAAATTACGCGTGGTACGAGCTTGTCTTGGACACTAGCCAGGAAGGTTCTAAATTACTGTTGTAACCAAAGGGCACTGTTGTAAAGCAGTGGTTTTCAACTAGGGGCGATTTTGCCCAACAGGAGATATCTGGCAATGGCTGGAGACATTTTTTGGCTGTCATAACTGGGGTAAAGGGGTGTTACTGGCAGGCATCCAGTAGGTAGAAGCCGGGAATGCTCCTGAATATCCTACAATGCACAGAACAGCATCTCACAACAGAGAATTATCTAGTCCAAAATGTCAACAGTCCTGAGGTTGAGAAATCCTATTTTAAATCCTATTTCTATCTAGAAAATAGAATTTGATAACAGCAGTATTTATTCTTTCATCAAGTATTTACTGACTACCCACCATGCAAAGTTTCTATATCAAGCTCCGTCCTAGTTGCTGAAGAATCCAGAGCAGTTATAATCTGTGTAACGTACATAACTATTTAGTGTCTAAATGGCCTTGAAAAGTTCTCAAAAAAGCCAAACGAGTTCCCCATGATCTGGAATTTTTGTAACTTTTCTAAATACTCACCTCTAGGCCCTGCATTCGTTTTAACAGCATTTTATTTTCATTGTTCTTAATCTTTTCTTCATAGAATTCCAGAAATGTTTTTTTGTAGACTAGTTTCATATTGTACTTCTTCACCATTCTGTCCAAAAAAGATTACTTAATGAAAAGGCTTCTAAAATGTTTGTAATTCGTCAGCAGTTTACTTTTGCATAACAGTGACATCTTCTGGACTTAACTTAAAAAGCTACCACTTCCTTCGTAAATTCACAATAGAGTAATGCAAAATGAATTAAGAGTAACATACTCATAAGCATGCCAGAAAGAAACATGCATTCTAAATTTCAAGGGGCTGCAGATAGCTCTCTATTAGTTTAATGAATAGGTCAGGAAGCAAAATGAGAGGAAGCTGCCGGGGTTGTGAGACCGGGAAGAGGGCTACCTACAGGACATGCTTTCCTACTGATTCCATTAACACCAGCACTGAAAACAGCTGCCAACTTCTTTCTTGAAAGATTTGTTCTCCTCTCTTGGCTTCTCTGGCAAGACACACTGTTAAATTTTTGCCCGACATCTCAGGCTGCTGCTTTGCAGTTTTATTTTGTTCTCAGTTTTCTTTTTTACCAGCTTCTAAACTTTAAGGTCCTGAGCTTGACCCAGAGCCTACATTTCCCCTCCTGAAGAGAGCTGACATTATCTGCAGCTCAGCTCTCTCTTTTGTCACACCCACAGATGCCACTGCTTATTAGAAATCTTCACCTGGATGTGTCACTGGCATTCTCTAGCTTCCCATATCTAGGGCTGGACCTCACTAGATTTTTTCTCTGCCAATCCTATTTCAGTAGATCCATCTAATGATTCCTGCCAGCTCCCTCTCCTACACCCACTAAAGCCTCTCTGCCTTACTTAGAGAACGTCCCTTCAAATAGCTCCGCATTTGCCACCACCTGCTTCCATCCGCATCCCCATTCAGCAGTACCAGTACAGTAACCACTGTGCCCGTATCCTATTCCATTCTTACTCTCCCTCTGTGAATTTTCCAACCATGGCTGGATTAAGCTTTCAGAAACACATACCTAGTCATGTCACTGTCCCCCTTAACACCTTCCCTGGGCTCAGTGCACTTAGGACACAAGCCAAAAGCCTTGAACATGGCCTCTAAGGCACTTATTTATAAAGGGATGCTGCCTCATCTTGAGCCTCTCGGGCTTGGCTTCGCTCAGATCCAGTCTCAATGGCTTTCCCTCAATTCCTTGAACTACCCGCTTTCCCACTTGAGGGCTCTCATCCACACTGTCCCCGTCGGGACATTCTTCCTTCCAGTCTTCAACTGGCCACCTCTATTCCTCCTTTAGATCCTGACTTAAACATCACTTCTCTAAAGGTGTCTTCCTTAAATCTTCAAACTGCATTAGGTCTCCCCGTTAGACTCTCAGGTTTGTTTTTTTTTCCCTTCACTGCATTTGCCAAGTTTATATTTCTGTAGGCAACATGAGGGAGCTTGGAGATGATTTCAGGCAGCATGTGAAGGAAGAGAGGAAGAAAGGGGGAAAAATCCTGAAAAGGTAAGTGGGAGGGCTTGTGTGCAGGGTGACAGTTGAGGGGACAGAGTAAGGGGAAACACGGGAGGGCTGTGGGATTTGTATCTCAGAGGCACTATAAGGCAGGGTTCTGTTATCTGAATTAGCCCCTGTTGGAAAGACAGCATGAACAAAGGTAAGTCTCTTTTATTCTAGGCAATTAATTTTCTTTCATAAATCTCCAAAATAAGCCATTAGAAATGAAACCAAGTTTTATACTTAAACAATATACTTATAAAGAACTGAGAACCAGTTTGAAAATTACGAATTGCTTTTGC